ACGCTCAGACTCCAACATCGTGTGTGTCACAGTATCCAAGAGACCACAGTAAAAGAACTGATTGGACTGTGCCCTCTTAAATCTGAAAAGCTAGCTACGAAGCAGCGTGGCCTGTGAGCATTTGCGTCAGGTGATATTCCAGCTGCCTATGCTTACAGGCTATCCAGCTTCGAAGGTTCGGGATTAGTGATTTCGTCCACTTCGCCACATCACGTGTTGCCTCCCACTCTTGCTGCCACTGACCGATTGAACTCTCACCCTGGTGAAGAGTAACTCCCAGATACTTGACGTAGTTTTGGGCGTCACTCTCGCTCCCGCGCACTCAAATACAATAGTGTCCCTCTTTCTGTAGCCTCCGAGTAATACAACCTCGTCAGATATCCTTCGCGAGCGAAAGATCATGCTCGCTTATCCAATCCACAACGAGGATACACGCACACGTAATCCGAAGCAAGAGTTCATTCCTTTCCCGTGTCGCCACCAGCATAGCGAGGTCGTCGAAGGCGAAGGGGGGTAACACGCTTACAATATTTGCAGATATTACGGTATAACTGCCTTCTGTTTGCCAGAGAAACTCGGACTTTTCTCGGAAACCAAAATTGCCCCACTGTCATTAACAGAACAAGCATTTATTTGACTTGTTTCTCTTTATGATACCGCTGCGCCCTATAATAGAATAAAATATACGCCTAAGGTTTTCTTGGTTATATTTAGTTTATTTTATAAAACACATAATGTAGTACTACTGTATTTTTCAGCTAATGACATTCTCCCATCAATTATCGCATAACCGTTTTGCTTTCAACGTGCTCAATTTGTTCAGTATTAACCTCCCTCTGATGATAAATGTAAGTATAGATTAAAAAAAATTAAGAATCTATAAATAAACTGTTTTAGTTGATCGGTTCTGGCATAACAATATTAGTTCTAATGATACAGTATCAAGAAGCGCAAACTCCTATAAAGTGCTGATAAAAACCAACTAACAATATTTGAGATGCAAAGAACAAAAAATATAATATATAATATTCACCAATGGCAAAACATTGATTTTAACATATCAAAAAATAGCTTAGAGTATAGTTTTAAGTTGCACTGTAGCTTGTTAATTAATATAAATAAATCTCACAATACAAGGTTTTTTCATTATATAATTGTTTTGTTTTTTATTGAGATTCTTACATTTATATAAACGTATAAAATAATGATGATAAGGGATAAGGAGAGCATTTTTTGACAGATATTGGGCTAACCCGTACTCGTACCCACTTCACATTTGCCAAATTGTCATGTTTGTGTAACGGGATTTAATTAAGAATCAGATCTAAGTAACCTAATTCAGTTTAAAAATTTAAAATCCTTTTAATAACATTAAACTATTATTGCTAAAAGCGATTGTTTGTTTATGACATTGAAAATATCGGTGTAACGGGGACGTGAAATTTGCAATGTAATCAAAAGCTTATTAAATAATGTGTACAAATTAAATAAGTAAAACAATATTATATAAACAAGCACACGTGAGTTACATAGCTGGAAAATCACGGGAATATAATTATTATTAAGAATGAAGAGTTGATAGTCGAAGCTTGTGTTGTCATCCGTCAACTGGGTACTCTCTCTATTATTGTACTTATAAAGAAAACCAATAAAGTAATTATGAGTATCCAGTGAGTTCGAGTTAATCAACCACATAGCGGGTACACTACCCCTAGAGTTCCACTATATGGAACTCTTGATGGAAGCCATCCCATAAACATTATAAGAATATACACCATTATTATATGGCGATCTTAAATTATTATATCTGCGGTCGAGTCCTACTCTGCTGCAGTTTACATTGTATTATATAGAAAAATTCGGTTTTTCTGTCAATAATATCGTTTTTTAACATGATAATAGGAGAAACAAGATTTCTCCATAAAATAATAGAACATGGAAATCATCTGACAATGAAACCGTTAACCTCCGACCTCATGGATGTCAGAAGCTACCAAGGTCCAAACATAGATAGTGACCACTTTCTTGTAATGCAAAAATCAGAGGAAGAATATCAAACCTAAAGAAGGATAAACATATGAAACAAGACAGAATTAATGTTGATAATCTGCGCATTGAAACCGTTGCGGAGAGTACAGGAGAAAAATGGATGCGGGAGTAGAGAGCCTGGAAGCGGGGGAAAATGTGGAGAAATTGTGGAGAAAATGTAGAAAATAATAACTGAGAAGGCATCGGAAATCTTGGGGAAAACCAAACCAGTTAGACAAAACGAATGGTTTGATGAGGAGTGCCAAGAAGCAACAGATAACAAAAATACAAAAGTACAAGAAGAGCAGGAGGAATACCAGACCCTAAGAAGGAAAGAAAAAAGATTACGTAGAAGAAAAAAGGCAATTTGAAGAAAAGCAGTTAGAAAACATAGAATGTTTAAAAAATCAAAACGAAACTCGAAAGTTCTACAGAAATGTAAACAAAATGAGAAAAGAGTTTAAGCCACGAATAGGGAGCTGTAAGGATGAAGAAGGAAATATCCTAAGTGATACGGCCTCAATCTTGAGCCGATGGGCTGAATTTTTCGACCTAAAATTTAACGGGCATTTTATCTAGGAAGCAGATAATACCGTAGCAGATCGAAATGATTGGAATCTATTCAACCCAAACGAAAGACCACCTACCAGGCCATGAACGGTGAATGGTCTCAAGGCGTGATATGCCTGTTACATAAAAAAGGTGATCAGCTTCAGTGTTAACAACTGATTAGAAAATACTAGCAAATATTCTCTACGAAAGGCTACAAACAAATTTACACAGTTGGAATAAGGCGTAGCAAGCGAGATGTTGATCAATATTTCCTAGAATTGGAAACGGCGGCGTAACAGGTCGGTCTAGTCATCAACGAAGACAAAACCAAGTACATGTTGGTTACTAAGGATTCTATAGCAAATGAGGAAGGGGAAACAGCATTTGGAAGTCATATCTTTGAACATGTTGACAGCTTCACATACCTTGGCTCGATAGTGACTACTACCAATAAAACAAGCGAAGCAATTAAAAGACGAATAAACCTTACCAATAGGGCATACTATGGACTCCAAAAACAATTCCACTCAAGAAATATCTAAAGAAAAACCAAACTTATTATATACACAACACTGCTGAGGCCGGTTCTCACACGGGCGGAAACATGGACTCTAACGCAGAAGGATGAAAGACTTCTGGCAATATTCGAGCGTAAGATACTCCGCAAAATATTTGGAGCTATAACCTATCAAGGGCAGTGGCACAAACGATTTAATTTCGAATTATACCAACTCTTTAATGAACCAGATGTCGTAATGTTTATTAAAACACAGCGACTTAGATGGGTCGGACACATAATACGAATGCCTGACAACATGATTACTAAAAAGCTAACGACAAGAACACCTATAGAAAGAAGAAGCAGAGGCCGACCGCGAATTAGGTGGTTAGATGGAGTTGAGATCGACATAGGGATACTAAAGATCAGAAGATGGCAACAAGTTGCCAGAAACCGAACAGGATGGCGAGCCAAAGATGATTATGATGATGAATATCGATTTCTAATGTAAGAATATATAATATCAATGAAAAAATCAACGTAAGTTAATACCGATCAACTTGTTGTGCAAAGCGCGTGCTAGGGTGTATGCGAGTAGGATGTATGGAAATATAAATGTGGATGAAAGAGAGAGAGAGATAACGATAAAGGAGAGGCAGAGAAATGAATGAATGATAGCGAAAAGGCAAGTTGGACGAAAGAGCTTATTCCAGATTTAAGGCGTGGTGGGAATGTAAGTTCAGGAAACTAGACTATTTCCTGACGCAATTTCTGACTGGACATGGTAGTTTTCGCACCTTCACAAATAAATATTTGTGAATAGAATATATTAAACTGTGGGCAGGAGGACGCTCCTGCCCACATTTTTAATTACCAGAGATGGGCAAATGAGAGGGGAAACTTCGAGGGACGAATGGGTTTCAGGCTGGATGAAAGCAACATGGCAAACATAATGATGAGAGAAGAGAAAGGATGAAGAGAAGTATACTGCCTGATTTTTGGGGTGATGAAGAAGAAGGAGCAGGAGGACACAGGAGGAAATTGAACCAGGGATCTGAAATCTTGTTTCTGTTCTCTCGAGAGCCAAGAACCGGTAAGTACCAAAATTAGTTTATGGCCTCAGGAAAATATTTTCGTTCTTTTGATTTCTTTTGGTAATAGGCAATTCTTAGACAATTTTGTTTTCTGATTTACGGGGATAGGTATGGTTATTTGTTTTTCCTTAATATAATATAGTATTCTTCTTTTAAAGTAACGGTTAATATAAGGATATTAGTTGTTTATTAATGGCAAGACCCCTACTCTGGAATGGCGGTTAAAGTTTTAGCCAAAACACGGTTAATACGGCACTACCCTGTGGTCTTCTGGCCTAGTATCCTGCTCGAGTATCCTACTTGGCCGAAAGATGCCAGGGTGTCTTGCCCCGTGACGTTAGATGTCTAAAAAAGATTTCCCCCACCGTTGCCTGCCAGAATTCAATGGATCTGGCAATACGTCAATTAAAAAAAGCTTTGAGATGTGGTGTTATCAGAGAAATTAGAAAATATTATGGACACAACACGTAACAAACACGGAAACATTAAGAAAGAGGAAAAAAGAAAAAGAACTGCTTAACACTATAAAGGAGAAAACGAGCTACTTTAATCACATGATAAGAAATGAAAAATATGAGTGGATGCGATTGATTATACAGGAAAAGTGAAGGAAACCGGGGAAAATACCGGGGAGACGACGCACGTCCTGGTTGAAAAATTTAAAGCGGAATTTGAAGTGGAAAAACAACAACAGAACTCTACAAAACTGCTACAGACAGAGTAAAACGGGCCGTGATGATCGCTAATGTTCTAAAAGGATGAGGCACACGAAGAAGAAGAACAATTAGTAACAGCTTAATTAATTAGATATTGGAATAGTAACTTACGTGTTCTAATTTTGGTAGATTAACTTTTTTTATCACTTTTTCCGTCTTATTACTGAATCCAGTGTTGCTACTCGTAGAGGCTGCTTGTAAAACTAAACTCGAACTCTAAAAATATCATATAATGAGTACATTTGTGAATTGAATATAATCACTATAGAGAATGTAACTTTTAGTATGTTAAATTGATATGGAATCGGATGTAAAATTTTACCTTTTCCGTTGGTGTAGAAGTACTATTCTTTATAATCTCTTTATTAGAACTAGTTCCAATATTGGACGTCTTAGTAGGAGTTTGCAAAATTGAAGTCTGTGCCTAAAAAAATAACAGAGTAATTACACTCTTCGTATTTGCCTCATTTAATATATTCGTGAATATTTTAAAATTGAATGCGGATATAAGTTAAGTAAACTACAAGGTTAGTTTATCTAGTCCTTTATTACAATTATTATTTGCAGAAACTTCCTACGTTTCGTCAGCTTTTTCGTCGACACATTTGACCATGTTGTTTTAATTTATTAATTGGTTTAACCGCTTAATTTTTCCTGTAATCACGAACTCTAAAAGCACTGTTTTTCAAGAACACTGGTTTTACAAGTGAAAATAAAAGGATAAAAAGACCTAAGCGATTACTAATAACAGATTCTTCTTGATCTAATAAAGTTAACAGAATAAGTTGAATGAATTAGTTATGATTAAGGGCAGCGTATTAAATCAAATTGATGGATAATGTCGAAGGTGCGGGTTAATATTGTACTTAGGGTGCATTAGTACTGTGTTAACTAAATCGTGCTGGCCATGATGCTGATAAAAAAACATTCAGACATCAAATGTCAAATTATAGTCTTATGACATAATTTAAAGAGACGGCTTAAAACGTAACAAAAATTTGACTATTTCTGAAGGAATACCATTATAGGTTATACAAATCAGAATAGGGCCAATAGCATGTTATGGCAGCGAAGCATGGGTCCTGAAAGAAACATCCAAAAACAAACTCGACACATTCGAAAGAAAAGTACTGAGGAGAATACTAGGACCTGTGAGGGAAAACGGAATCTTCAGAATTCGATCTAACAACGAGCTCTATCAACTGTATAAGGAAACACCCCTGTCAAACTTCATTAGAATCCAAAGATTGCAATGGGCCGGACATGTGATACGAATGGGAGAGGATAGGCTACCAAAACGAGCACTGAACGCCAGAATGCAGGGAAAGAGACCAGTTGGAAAGCCAAGAAAGCGCTGGGAAGACACAGTAAGCAGCGACGCACAAGCACTTTTAGGAGTCCGTGTATGGAGAAGAGCAGCCACAGACAGACAAGGGTGGAGGCAAAAAATAAAGGAGGCCAAGGCTCATTTTGGGCTGTAGTGCCGTAGAAGAAGAAGAAATCAGAATAGGGCTTTGAAATCATGGAAATTTTACATATACTATTCGAATTAATTGAGACAAATAAGTTTTTCTTACCTGAGTAAAGGTCGATTCAGACACATCAGTCACGTCTCGTCACAGTCCTGGCGCCGAACCGAACAATCCGTCATACAAAATATTCTTTAATAGAAATATGGCGCCGGCATTCACATTCATCTGTTGACGAACAGTTTTCTCATCTGTCAGATAGTTTATAGTTCTGTGACCAAACAGGACCGGTTCGGCGCCGAGACTGTGACGGGACTGATGTGTCTGAATTGACCTTTAGTAATATGTGATTATCGGTGATGTCCTGAACCGCATTAAACCGGTTATATCTGCCTAGAGGCCGTGCGACGGATCGACCTTTATATAATTTACTCGTTTGACTGGTTGAAAGAGTGTTCAGTTAAAAGCCTTTCTGCGTGGCAGCCGGTGGTTATAATAGTGTGTTCCGTGTAATACGCGTTAGTTTTGCGTGTTAAAAGATGTATATTACTCCTACGAAGCGTGCTAAAGTAACGTGTATAACTGTGAGAGGTATAGCTACAGCAGTTGATGTCGGAAAATTAAGAATTTTAAGAATATTTCAAGATCCCGGAACAGCGTCGCCAAAAAGAAAAGGAAAATGAGGGCGCAAATGGATAAAAAACTCCAAGAATTGATAAAATTTTAATAAGAAATAGCAAACTAAATCCAAGAAATGAAAGCACATGTCTTCGAAGGGATTTACTGGATTATGGTATTGAAATGAGTACCTCAGCTGTGATAAAAGCTTCTGGCAGTTGGAAGAAAGACACTTACTTACTTTATCGTGTCCGGACATGTCATTCATAAAATTTCGGCCCAGTATCGGGCTACGTCGGTTCCATCTTTGTTGGCGAGCCACAAATCTTCAAGGGTACATCGATGAGGACAGTTTCTGCATGTAAGAAGATGTTCCATATTCTGTGTTTCTCCACAGTCACAGTTCACATCATCTTGGTTTATTTTTCCCCATTTTGCCATGTTTGATTTTACTGTAGCAACCCCCGTTCTTATCCTATTTAAGGTTTTCCACGTTTTAAAGTCTAGGGTCTGGCCGGCCCATTGAACCTGGGGAAGTGGAAAATACTCAGGCGGTTCATCCTTCACTGTTCCAAGGAAGCTTTTCCTAGATTTTAGTCGCTTTCGTGGTGTTCGAGTTTTGTACAGGGCATGCCGATCGTCCGCGATCTGTTTAATTTTCTCTATGTGTTCTGCAGCGCCTCTGCGTGTTGAGGGTTCTGCAAAACCCGCTGCTCTATATAGATTTGAAAGTGGCGTTGGTTTCATGCACCCTGTTACTATCCTGCATGTCTCATTTAGCGCAGTATCAACTTGTTTGGTGTGGACAGATCTGCTCCAAACGGGGCATGCATATTCAGCAGTTGAGAAACACAGTGCCTGTGCCGTTGTTCTTAAAACGCCAGGACGTGCGCCCCATTTACTTCCCGTTAGCTTTCTGAGTATGCTGTTCCTAGTTGTTACTTTCCCTCTTGTTTTTATGCAATGTTGTCTGTAGGTGAGGGACCGGTCCAGAGTTACTCCAAGATATATAGGTTGGTTTGTGTGTTTCTAATGTATTACCATTCCACACAATTTGGAGTTTTCGCTTGGCTTCCTTTGTGCGAAGGTGGAAAGCGCAGACTTGGGTTTTAGAGGGATTGGGTCTCAGAGAATTCTGCAGGTAGTACGCTGTCATTGTTTTTAAGACAGTTTCGAGTTTCTCCTCCACTTCTTTAAAACTATTTCCTTGAGCACATATTGCAAGATCGTCAGCATAGAGGAAGTGCTTGGTTTCGATTGGAGTAGGTTGATCGTTTGTGTATATATTGAAGAGCATTGGTGCTAAAACACTTCCCTGTGGGAGGCCGTTTTTTTGAACTCTCCACCTACTTACTTTACCCTCCAGCATAACGAAAAAAACGTCTATTTGCAGTAAGGAATATACGACCTTTCCCAGATGGTGGTCATTGAGAGTATCGTATAATTTGCGGAGCAATGTTTTGTGCCTTACTGTGTCATAGGCTGCTGTCAGATCTACAAAAGCAGCCCCTGTTATAAGTTTTTCTTCAAAACCCTCTTCAATGTGTTCTGTTAATGCGAGGACTTGACCGGTGCAAGATTTGCCAGGTCTGAATCCTCCTTGTTGTGGGATGAGGTGCTTGTCGACATTTTTTTCTATTCTGGCGAGTATGAGTCTCTCGTATAGTTTAAAAAAGTGACACAATAGCGAAATAGGTCTGTAGCTGCTGGGGTCTTCTGGATCCTTTCCTGGTTTTAACAAGGCTATTACTTTAGATTTCCTCCATGATTTTGGAATTTTGCAGGTTTTGCAGCACGTGTTATAAAATTGCAAGATCCAGTTTTTTGCTCCTTGGCCTAAATGCTTTATTTGTTCACTGCATATATCATCCACACCTGCAGCTTTCCCGTTTTTTAACCTGTTCAAGGAAGAAAGACAAGAAAAGCTACGAAAAAAACAATTTCTTACACAGAAAATGATGAAAAAAACGCTTAGCAAGGGCCAAAAAATACCGATCACGGACTGCTGACGACTGAAAAAAGAAGATTTTCAGTGATAGATCACATTTATTTGTACAGGGATAGAAATCAAGTTTTGTTAGATGAAGTGAAGGTAGACCTTTGCGACAAGAACATATCCAACAGACTGTAAAATACCCTTCTGAAATATTACACAAAAGGATTGTTCCATTCATGTCATCATTTAACGGAAGATTTCAACATGACTTGGCCTTTTGTCACGATTCAGAATTGGTTCAGACTTTTGTAAGGGAAAATAAAGTAAACGTGCTTGACTGACCTGGCAATTCATCAGACCTAGATCCCATTGCAAACTTATAGCATATTCTCAAGAAATGTTCGGCTAATATGAATTTCACTACAAAAGAAAATTATATTAAAAATGCTATATAATAGCCCAGGGAAATAAGCATTTTTTCATGACACTCCTCCGGCCAGGCAAACGACAGTTGTTTTGAGTAGTGTGGACCTCTGTAACAAAAACCTATATGTTTCCTGCAGTCGATTTTTTGGACTAAATTAGTTATTAACAAATTAAGTTCAAAAAACGGAAAATTTTTGCTTTTTTCGTCTATCAGCAAAAAGTGAAGCAATTTAAACAAATTTTAGAAGAAAGGAAACTTATAAGTTATATAAAAACCTTCAAAATGGCGTTCTCAAAATGTTTCTATCCTTATTTGTTGTTTAGAAAGTTGCAAAATAAGTCAAAAATTTCGGTTTTTTATAAATGTTAATAACTTTTTTGAAAATAAACTTATAATATTTATATTTCATGAATGATGTGTCTTGTAGTGCTTAAAATAGGGTTAAAATTTCAAAGTGATCGGTCCAATAGTTTAAAAGTTATTTTATTTGTTTATCCCAAATTAACATTTTTTGCAACAATATAAGTCAGAAATTTATACAGTTTTAGAAATTGTAAGGGTTGTTTCTGGTAGAAGAAGACTTGTTTTATTATTTACATTAAAAAAAAATTAGGAAAATTAATTTTAAATATTGCAAAATAATTTTGCAAAAACATGTCGATTTTTTGCTTATAAACAATTAGAATAACTTTTTAACCATTGACTGTAAAAATATTATTTTTACATATTTAAAAAGCTTGAATTTTTTCACAAATTTAAATAAAAAAAAGTTTGTCCTAAAATAATTTGGTACAAAGTTAGCCTCTTTTTTTATTTAATTCATAGCACCTTTGTTTATAACAATTAAGAAATCTAATTAGCGCTATTTAAAAGAATATACATTATAGTTTTAAAGTACTAAATTTTAAAATTATTGCCTTTTAATGGAATCCTCCACAAAGCTTCAAGATGTATGTAAAATCGGTCGGCTTTGA